CATGACAGTCTAGCACTTAACAAAATAGAAATTCTGACAAGTAGGGGAAAGAAAATGGTGATATATTGAGTTACCCTACAATTGATGCCCAAACGGGTGCACCGATAAAAGTGAAAGCAGAGTATTATTGATTATGCCGGGAGCAGAGGCACAGCTGGGGCTGGTTAGGCTGGGGACTAGGGTGATATAGAAAAAGGAAGGTTGACCAGAAAGCTGAGGGACGGGAACTTCAGAGGCTCTGTCGGTTTTAGAGTGCCAGCTATTTTTGGATGAAAAGAAATCTGAGGGAAAACACTCCATGTGCAAAGCTTTAAAAAGATAAAAATGATAAAATGGGTAACTGAGTCGAGTCTATTCTAATTATCATGAGAAGAGATGGCGAAAAAAGCTTCCCGCTTCCTCTTCCTGGCGTCCAGATGATCTAGGTCCTGACTTTTTAACTGTATCTTGAGCAGCTCTGGGTTTCCAAGGCCCCAGTCTGGTGGCTGCCTTGTGGGGGGAGTGAGCGCCCTGTCCCCATTTAAACCGAGTAACTCCTTTGTTGATGTACCTTATATTACTAAGGTTTGGCATGGCATTTGGGGAATCAATCAGCTTTTATTGCTTTGAAAGCCACTGATCTAGGACACGTCTCAGTATGATTCCACCAACCAGAAAGCAAGAGAGGGGACCATCTCACAGTAGCGTGACACATCGTGGCGAGTCATCATATCCGTCACCATTCACACCGTGCACGCATACGGTTGTTTGATCCTTTGGGTTTTTTTTTTTTTTTTAATCTAAGGGAAAAATGTTTTTTTTCCCACTCTGTGCCAGAAATATACTGGCTTTGATACTAGTTCCATACCCTTTTTCCACTGTTGCAAAGTGGATGAAGTATAGTCTGAATTTTCGCAAAGCACAGATTCTGTGTGGGCAAGGTCGGAAGTCGTTGGCGGCGTATGAAGAAGGCGGGGAGGGGAGTTCTTCGACTCTTAAGGCGATGGGAGGGGGAGGGCTGGCTTCCTTTTTTTCAACCAACGCGTGTCTTCTACCAAACTGTCGGCTCCTCGAAGGCCGAAGGCTGGGACTCTCACTGGTCGCGCTCGAGGGAGCGGTTCTGAAGCCTGATGCTCCCGATGGCCTTGTTTTCCACGGGGAAGAGCGTTTTTTTTTTTCTTTAGTGACAGGAAGCCACAGAAAAATGTTCTCCCTTCCATTTAAAAGTAACTTGTTTCCTTTTTCCTATGTTCAGAACAATTTATTTTCTTATCGTAAGAGCAATTTGTATTTGTTGCTGAAAAAGAGAAAATACAGACAGGCAAAAGGTATAAAACGGAAAATATTCATTATTTTCTTAAGCCAGAGAAGAAAACCACAGTTAACACCTTGGCTTAAGCCCTTTATCCTGCTTTTCCTTCCTCTCCCTCCTCCCCTCCCCTCTCCTCCCATAGCCTTATCCTCCTGCCCCTGTGCTCCTTTCTAGATATTTTCACCAGTATGTAAATACATATCTCTATGACCACATACCACCGGGTAGGACCTTCGGCTGCGAAGGACAGGGGACAGAGGTTAGCAACTAGCAGGTGTGTGGCCAGTGGCAGGCTGGCGGGGAAGAGCGAGGATGGTAAGAAGATGATGAGGTCGCCGGTCGTACACATCGGAGAGGAGAGGCAGGGCGGGAATCGAGCACTCAGGAGGCAGCCTGGCTTTGAAGAAGTTACTTCTGGGATCTTATTCTCGTCTTCAGAGGCTGGAAGGAAGGAAGGAAGGAAGGACAGGAAACGGTTTTAGGTGGAGAAAAGCAGAGGCCAGGGTATCGAGGGAGTGAACGCTGAGGGGACGCTTCTCAGTAATGTCTCGTTCGTTGCCTTTTGTAATCTCTGTCTTTTTCTCCTCTGATTAAAAGCGGTTCCGGAAATGTTTCTGAAACAATTGGCAAGACTGTGTTAGTCAGCTCTCTCCGTAACTTTTGTTTTATATGTAATTTAGGTCGGTTTTGTAAAGAAGCCGAGAACTGAAGCTCTAGAGCTGTAGGGGCCAATGGAAATAGGATGCGAACTACATATATCATTAGAAATGTTTAGTAACCAAGTTAAAAAAAAAAGTAAAAGAACAAGTGAAATGCATTTTAATAATATATTTTTTGTAACCCAGATATCTCAAACGCTATTTCAACTTGTAGTCAATATAAAAAAATTAGTAATGAGATATTGTACATTCTTTTTTCCCTAGTCCATCTTAAAAATCCATTTTCGCGTGCTCAGTGGCCACACAGAGCTGGTGGCTGTCGTGTTGGACAGTTGGCTCAGGAGGTTCACACAGTTTGTAGCAGTGAATGCTATCTAAGAAAAAAATGTGCCTGTTCTTAGGTGATGAAGACTCTCTCTCCGGCCAAACTCTAGGCGGGCTCCTCTGAGCTCTTTTTCAGCTGGGCCCGTCCTTGGGTATGTGCTCAAGAACCTATTTCGGCAAGAATCCTGTCAGTGGGATTTTGAACGCGTGTGGACATAAAAAACTTAAACTATGGAAGTGTCTGGCCACACTTTTGCCAGAATGTGTGCACTCTGCTGTCTCTTCAGCTGGAGTCAGCCCCCGGCTTTGTCACCAGCAGGTCACCTAACTGCTGGGCCCCCGTTTCAGCCTCTGCAAATCTTCGATAGCTTCTGTGGCCCTCAGGGTCTCTCCCACCTCTGTATTCTCTGAGTCCTTAAATTCGATATACCCTGTGGATTTCAGGTTAGCACTGACGAAAGACCCCTTGGCACCCCTGCTCCCCACCCCTGCAGGGCGGAAGGTGTCACCGATGTGAGGATGCCATCCACTGTGTCAGTCGTGTAGCCACATTCTCGGTTTCTGTCATCTGTGCTATCCGCGTTTTCCCTTCTTGTCCTTGTGAATTTCAAGAAATTAAAACAAATATGCCTAAAGGAATCTGTGGTTGGAGCAAGTAATTTAAAAATACACGAAAGAGTGCTTAAAGGAAGTATTTTAGTCCATGGTAGCGGCAGGCAGGTCACCTGTTATAGCCCTTATCGGTTACTTGTCCTTTAAGACCGAGAGGCGGTTTTCCAGCAATATGTCCAGTTCTGAAGTAACCAGCAGCTCGGTTCTGCAGCAGCGACACTCACAGATAGCCAGGCGACAGCAAGGCAGGAGCTCGGGGAACCAGAAGTAGAATTAGTGGGATAGAATCGTCAGAACTGAGAGTTAGATCGCAGAACTAGCGTTTTTGTTTTCGTAGATAAGGTTACATGAAAATGCTGCAATACTCGCACTGACAATATTGTCAGCGCTTCAGCTTTTCGGTCCTTGACCGGCACCGCACGTTGCTGTGGTTCCCGCAGCCGCCCGCACAAGCCAATCTCCAGGGCTCTGCTTGTGACTGTACTTTCAAGGTCAACAGTATTTGAGTTATGGGTTTGAGTGTCTGCACTGACTTCACCTTAGACTTTGGAGTCTAACACTGTAGATGTTGCGTGAAATATGAAAGAACCGTCTTCAATGACGATAGGCGTGTATCACAAAACAGCTAACACCATCAACAGAAAGCAGATTCATATGGTATTCGCTTCAACTTTTCAGTTCTTTAATGCTTTAGAAATCACTTCGACACCTATAAATGTGAAATAGACGTCAGCTGAATATTGCCAGGATTAGCTATGATGTGACAGTGGAACAAGGACATTCTGAAAAAGAAAAATCTATTGTTTCATAATAATTAGATCTTGTTTACTGCTTTACTTAACATCACCAATCAGGGAAAAAAAATGATTTCGAGGTTTTATAAAAGCTTTTAGGGTGCATTCCTAAAGGAATCTCAGTAATTTTTTTAATGAGGAAGGAGATATACTTTCTATTTTTAAAAACTGAGATATAACTGACATATAACATATATTAGTGTCGGGCGTACAACATAATGATTTGATATTTGTGTGTGTCATGAAATCGCAGTAAGTCTAGCTAACATCTGTCACCACATAGTTATAAATTTTTTTTCTTGTGATGGGACCTTTTAAGATCTACTCTCTTAGCAACTTTCAAACATGTCACACAGTTTTGTTAGTCGCCATTCAGATAGCCAGGCGACAGCAAAGATTGCATCCCCATGACTTACTTATTTTATAAATGGAAATTTGTACCTTCACAGTTTTGTTAGTCGCCATGCCGTAGATTGCATCCCCTTGACTTACTTATTTTATAAATGGAAATTTGTACCTTTGGACCACCTAGGTGCAGACTTTTCTCCCAGCCTTTTTAGAAGCAAGTACAATCGAAGTGATTTTTGTCCTGCTCTTAGAAGTTGCAACAAATGAGGATACGTAGTGATTGGTGCCTCCTACACAGTGATGAGCCAAGCTTTAAAAACATCTGAGGCTCACAGCTTGGCCATGTGCCATTGTCAAGTCGCTCCCTGATGACAGACGGAAGTCCTGCAGGAGAAACCATATTGCCCAGAGGAACATATGGACTCATCATATTATTTGTGTGCATATTACTCTGAGTTGAGAAATCCAGATGACCCAAGGAAAGATTTTTCTTGCAAAACAATATCCCTCAAAACAATTTTTTTATTGGCTTTTTTTTCCTTTCTTTTTCTTTTTCTCTTTCTTTCTCTCTCTCTCTCTCTCTCTGTCTCTCTCTCTCTCTCTCTTTTGCAGAGTGGCTAAGCATTCCCAGAACAAACAAATCTCTCAGCTGTGGCTCGTACAACCCATTTGATCTCTGCCCTCCTGCTCCCTCCTGTGTGTTGGAGATCTGATAGCCCAGGCTGAATTTTCAAGCTCCCCGTGGCCACCCTGGTCATGCCAGGGAAAAAAAGGAAAGAGAAAGAGTAGGCAGGCCTAGGTGAAGTCATCCCAATAAAGGTTAATAGCTGGGTGGTGACACCTTCTCACACGACTGGACAGAAAATGCTGGGCAGTGCTTTCTCCCAGCTGCCTGTCATGGTACTGGGAGTAAGAGGTGACCTATTTATTTTTAGAAGGGGAGAGTCATGATAACTCGGCTCTGAGTTTCATTCAAGGCAGGCAGGCGTTTTGGAAGTTTGTAAACACCTACTTTCTGAGTAAGGGAGGGGTGCTTTTTTTTCCAAAAAGGAAAGAACTTGACTCCTGGGGCTTTTCCCTGCTGACACTCATCGTGAGAGTGGAGAAGAAACCACTGAGGCACGGAAGTGCTGCAGCCTTCTCCCCGGTCTTAGCGTTTTTAAAGGGCAGAAATGCCTGAAGGTGAGGACTTGGGACCAGGCAAAAGGTAACTGTGGTATATATTTCTTCTTGAGTGTATTTCACTTGCTAGTAATCTTTATTTTTTTTTTTAAATATTATGATAAATTTAAAAGGTAGTTTATATTAACACTTTAAAATATTAGGAATGCATCTCTCAATTCCAGGAAATAATTTTCTTTAGCAGGAAGAGACATAAAATTAACCTAACATACCTGTAGAAGCATATGTAAATAAGTATTCTTCTTGAATGAGGAAATGATAGCATGAAATTTTTAAAAGGGGTTTCCCCTTACACGATGTAAAGCCTACTTGAATTTTTTGATGTTTGATTTTTAACTTTAGGTGATAGTTGTTGGAAATCAAGCTAGTGAACATTTTAGGAAATGTTTGCATTTTAAAGGCTTGTTGACCATTTGTAAACATTAAATATTAGACCAATATACCAATTTAGATATGACAATACTTTTTTAAAAACAAAACAAAACAAAACAAAAACACAGTTATCTTTGAATATGTGATCATTTGGGCCCTCATATGCAGTAAATGTTTTGATGAATATCTAGTAATATCTAGTTTTAAGAAGAGGGGAGAGAGAGATGAGAAAGGAGATAGGCAGTTATTCCTGCTAATCTGAGCATAATGTGTGCCCATCTCGAAGTTCTCCATTTCTAGCCCCACTGCTGTGTTAACGAAATCTGTACGATTCGGTTTCATTGGAACCCTATGACAATCATAGAAATTTAGACATGAAGAAGTAGAAAGAAAGCTGTTAAAATAGGAAAAGGGGTCATTGACAACGTCATTGTCAGAGAAGGTAGAAACTGGGAACTCTCTAGGAACAGAAGTGCCAGATATCTTTTTGGTCCCTTCTTAAAGATAAACATCCCTTTTCAGCCATGATCATGCGATGTGTGTGTGTATTATAATCGATTGTAATCCTTAGAATTGTCCTTAAAAGCTACTTTTCTCTTTAGTTTCCTAGCTTTTATTTTCTTTTAGATTTCTTCCCAGTAGTATATCAAAGGGGACATTAAATTGGCATTTAATTGAATAAGGAAATAATTTTCTACATAAAATGAGACATTAAATCAAGTACTTAAAGATAACATTTATAAAAAGGCCTAGATTTAGGACCTAGACTAAACTAACTCGTTAGGAGAACATTTTTAGAGAATTTTAATGTTAGTCTTGGTTTCGAGATGATGGATCGATCTACCTGTATCATGTGTGGTACCCCGTTCCCTGTGACATTTTAACATGACAGGACTTTCTCTTTTTCTCTTAGCATCTTGGAGTTCTCACCAGCTCTCTGCATAGAATTTTGCACAGAATAGGCATTTTTAATAAAGACTTGTTGAATGTCATTTATTTTTAGACCATTTTTATGCCCTCAATAAAGATTTAGGAGGCCTGATCATTTTGGAGACTGACGAGAGAGATTCGGCCAACATGTCATGAGAGTTGCCTTAATGCAATGTAATATCACGATCAATTAAATCGTAATTAATTGTGGATAATTAATTATGAATATTTTGAACTAACAGTTTGTGATGTAAATGAAACCAACATAAGATTATTTTCTAAGAATTTTTTTTATTGGCTACAAAGGATAAACAGTTAGAAAGGAGAATATATGTCTTAATAAAAATGATCATTACCAAGGACTAATAATATATTTGCTGAAAACAGGAAACTCCCTCTCATCGCTTGGCATTCTCACCAGTTCTCTGCATAGAAATTTGTACAGAATCCCTACTCCTATTTTTTTATTTCGATGAGCTAACCCCCAGCTTTAACGTTCGGCATGTTTCTATGCAATATCCTTTGCTTCGATTCAGAAGTTTGTTTTTTTTTCCGTCTGTGCAGAAAGTTAGAAAGGGCACCCCAGACGGGGAAAGTTGAGAGCTAGGACAGAAATAAAGTATTACACTTGAGAGGGAATTTTACTCTTGCAAAATCTGAGACTAAATGCTGCTAGACAATTCCTTTGGTTCCACATCTGAAAGAGAAATACCTGTTAAAGGGGGTGGATCCGACGACAAACTCGTGCTCAGGGCTGGAGTGCAGCAGGGTGCAGCTGACTCTCATCACAGCCGGTCACATTCAGGCTTCTTCATGTTACTTTAGTCCCATTTTGAAATGTGGTGCCCCGAATGGCTCTGTAACCAGCAGTGAACTAAATCTGAACGTCGTCTTTTAAATCAGCCGAAACCAAACGATACGAAGCTTCATTAGTGTGTCTGGATGTGTGCCACAGGCACCCTGTGTTGGACCGATTCGTGCACTAATGATCCAGTGGCTCTGAGGCACCAAAGAGACGAACGTGAACACGGCTGCCTGGGAGGGAAGGGAGGCGGGCGAGAGGGACCCTCCTCCTTGCTGTTTATCTTGTCGCCAGTCATAAACACTCTTGGTAAGAACCGCCAAAGACGCCAGCCCGGTTTCAAGGTCAGAGACGAGGGGAGAGGGTGTGTAAGAATGGCATTCTGAAACGGGATGAGCAGGCAGGGGGCACTGGGCACCAAAGAAGGAGAGGAAAAGTGAGGCGAGTGGCCGGGAGCATAGACAGGACCAAGAAATACGAGGAAGGTCAGACCGTGGCCAGAGGCCTGGATCTGCGTGTCTCCTTATCCCACCTAACCCGGGGCCCCACCGTGGAGGCAGCAGCGTATGCCCTCAGAGAGAGTCAGTACCTGGCTGGAGGATGGGACAGGTGTAACATTTCCTCTTCCGGCTGCCGGCAAGGGGCATGGGCCCTAGAGTCCCAAGACTGAGCTCTGCATGTGTCCTACGGAAGCATGTCCCCACAGGACCGTCGCGTTCACACGTTGCCTGGTTCACTCTATGTGTGTTTAAATGCTGTGCCAGGCGACTCGAGGGCAGGTGAGACCCCTGCTCTCACGGAGTGTCTGAATGGGGGAGACAGACACTCGGTGAGTTAAAAAATAAAGAATTTTTCAGGTACTGATAGGGCTGAAAAATTTTTTAAAGGTAGCGTGGGAGAGTAGCTGGCGTGGGGTATGAAGGAGTAGTTAGGAAGGCCTCTCTGGGGAGGGGAGGTGCCCTTGGAGCCGAGATTGGAAGGGGCTGCCATGTGAGGGTGTCAGGTGAGTGGTCCCATACAGGACCCAGTATGGCCACGGATCCTGAGCGAGGGATAAATTGACGCCTGTTAGGAACAGAAAGGCAGCAATAGAGGACATTGAGTTGGAAAAAGGTATGGCCAGATCCACAGTGCCTCATCAGTCATAGTGGGAGGTGACGAGAAGTCATCAGAGGGTTTGAAGCTGGTGGGGGTGTGAGGCCACCTAAGTAATTCAGAGGCATTACAAGGGAGTATGCTTTTGTGAATTGGCCTGAGAACTTCATCATTTATAACTTATGGAAACATGGATTCGGAGGTATAAAAACGCTAACTTTGGAACATAACTAAATTTGTAAGTTGAGGATTAGCTGGATATGCATTTCAGAAATCTGTATAAATTACACATCAAGGGAACCCAAGGATAGAGGCCAATATACTGGACGTTCAAGACAGCACTGTTTCTTACAGAGTAGTTTGTGGTCCCCCATTGGGTGACAGATAACTGGGTCCTCTGCCTGGTCACTCAGGTCTGCAATAGGTGCTTAGAATCATATGAGGGGCTTTACCTCCGGCAGAAAGAGAGCAGCTTGTGCGTCTGACCCCGCAGTGACCCAGTGGGGTGGGTTCTGGGTGTGGGACAGCCTTCGGTGTCTTTTTTTTTTTCTTTTTGGACAAGTGCCTCATAAATCAACAGTGAAGAATTGTGATTTGGTGTCTTGCTGACGATGAGACAGCGGGGAGAGGACTGTCGGGATGCCCTCTTGAAAGTCACAGATAGCAACGTTTTTTTTCTAGATTATTCAGAAGGATCTAATGTTTAACCAATAAGTAGAATATCACCAGAAAGAAAATATGCCGTTTCAGCGATTAAGAAGCAAAACGTTGGCCGTTAACAGGACTCTCTGAAGCATTGTCGTTTGACATCATATAACGTAGTAAAGACTGAACCCTTCGACTGAGAAAGGCCGCCGAGCCTCTAAAACTGTGACGCTGGGATTTGCTCACAGATCTCACTGCCCTGTGCCGGAGTGGAGGGGTGGCCATACTCTTGAGTTCTGGCTATATGAAGGGCTATTCTGTTTCAGAAAACCAAAGCTCTTTTAAGGCACAATGGCCTAATTAGTATCTGGAAAAGGCATTAGCGATCGCATTGAATTTAATTCTCGAAAGGTTGAAAAGAAATTGATTTAAATACAGTCTTCGGTCCAGATGTTCTAATAATTCAAGTGGGTACGATTATAGGCTTAATTATACATTGTCGATGAAGCCTTCCCTTTGAGAATACTATTTCTTTAAATTACGAGGTGAGGCTAAAAATAGCCTCCCAAAGAAATCTGACAAGTGCGCCCATCTCAAGCTGTACGTGAGACAGGTTTCCATGAGCGAGCATATTTCAGCTTTCGTACATCTGAAAAAGTTCTTCTGCCGCCTTTGCTTTTGAAGCAGGCACAGGGAGCCAAAGTCAGCGAAGTTCACACAGCCAGCAAGAGAAGGGCTTGCGTTTTGAAGGCAGGCAGCTGACTCCCGAGGCTATGCGGTTAGGCACATGGTTAGTCACGTGGTGGTGATGCACTGGGTGGGTTTGATGCTCAGGTCAGTGTGGCACACAAGGAGAAAGGAGGGAGTGGCTGGAGGAGACTGGAGAGGTACCTAGGAGGCCCTCAGGGGGCTTCCGTAGGTAATGGTGTGCTGGTCAGTGTTTAATAAGTGGTTCTGGGAGCGGGGAGGGGAAGCTCTGACCTTAGCATTCGTGATCCCTTACAAGCCACCCATATGAGGTCACTGAAAGTGGAGCTGGGAAGAGATGGACATAATTGGTTCCAGAAAGCATGTTGGAGTCGGCCCTCGCACCTGAAGGGGCTGTGGACTGATAGGGGAGTTAACGTTTAATTCTAACCATGCTGCATCTTCCTCGTGGATCTATTCCCGAGACGGACCAG